TTTTAATTTTTAATTTTTAATTTTAATTATTTAAATTTTAAAATGAAAACCAAAAATTAAAAACTATAACCATTCTAAGCATATTTTTAATTAATTGGTAAATGGTCAAATTTTAAGACATAAATAAAAACTTATTACCACGTCAGCAATGATATTAAAAACAGAATGTCACGCAAGCCAAAAAGAAATGAAATTTAGTGTCAAGCGAAAAACACTTGCAGAAATCCATTAATCAAGGAGCTAATTTGCATTAACCTCAGAATTTAAGAGTTTAATTAGATGTAAATGTTTTTAATTTAAGGGCTTACATGTTAATATTGGGTAAGTCTGGGTGCTTAATAATGAGTTTTGCCGTCCTTTTCCCTTGCGGTTGCGGGAACCAAACAATTTAGTTTACCAGACTTGGCGTCAAGAAGTCTCCTTTACCTTCATGAAAGAAAAGCCTGCTCCTTTGTCCTTTCTTTCCCACTCCAGTCCAGGTTGCTTAATAAACAAAATTGAAAAACAGAAGTCTTCACATTATTCATATATATTGGATTCTCCCCTGGACCTTAGGCGATCTAAAACCGAGAACTTTGTTGATAATAAAAAATGTCTGCTTTGTTTTTTTTAATCAAAATAAAATAAAAACACCTGACTCTTGAGGCCTAGAAACATTAGTCGCCGATGCATTTTTCCGGCAAGATTTCAAAGCCGTCCCTTGCAAAATATGTTCAAAAAAAGAAAATTAAAATAAAATAAAAAATAAATAAATAATGTCTGCGTTCAGATTCTTCCCTGCTCGGCCTCACCACTGGAGCTTAGTACCCAACTTACCTCTACCGTTTCTGCCCCAATACGACCAGTTTTACCAGAAACAGCACCTATCAATCAAATCTCAACCGCCTCCTGGCACTCCTCTGCCGCCCTATCCTCCAATGCTACTGCCACTAGCACCAATGGGTTCCATTATACGACCTCCGGCAAAAACGCCAACAGGGTCTACGGTCTCTTCGTCTGCCGCGGCGATGTTTCAAGTCAAAAAATTGCATCACGTTTGCCACCGAAGATGTGACTCAGCGTTGCCCTGTTGAAAAAATTGCTGTGATTTGGTATGAGGGTTGCCTCCTTCGCTACTTCAACGCATCGATTTTCTCTACCCTGAGTGAATCGGAGAGCGTGTCAATGTGGAACGCTCAGAATGCCACAGATCCGACCCGATTCAACGGGGTAGTGGCCATGGCCATGAACGATGCGGTGGCTGAAGCTGTGTCGGCAGCTAAAAGGTTTGCCAGAAAAAAGGCTAATATTTCTGCATTTCAGACCCTGCACAGACTGGTTCAGTGCAGGCCGGACCCATCAACTTTGGGCTGTAGTAGGTGTCTCCAAGGAGCCATAGCATCTCTCCCTAGTTGTTGCTCTGGAAAAGTAGGCGGAAGATATTGAAGCCTAGTTGTAATATTAGGTCTGAAGTTTACCCTTTTTATAGAGTCTGCAGTTGCAGCTCTGGCACCACCACTGCCGGTGCTTAATCCTCCTCTTCCTCCTGGTTCAATGATCATCCCCTAAGGTAGAGCTAAGTGCAAAAAAATGTGGGGAAGTTGCCAAACTTCTATCTTTTTTCCATTTTCTAGGTAATTAATCAAAATGTCAATTTTATGAGTGACGCATCCTGTTTCTTATTCAGGTAAAGGCCAAAAATCATGGGTGACAATTGTTGCCACTGTTGTCCTGGTTGGTGTCTCTATTTTGCTATTCATTGTGGGGTGTTGCTTGCTAGTTGCTAACAGGGAGAGGAAGGAAGAAGTATGAAATTGTGCAGGGATATAATGGTGAAAACATGAATTCTTTTTTCAATCCAGAATTATCTTGGAGGTTTCACAGATTTTTACTGTTATATTTGGTGTCTGATTTTGCAGCTGTGGCTGATATAACCACTATAGAGTCACTGCAGTATGATCTCAACTTGATTGAAGCTGCAACAAACAACTTCCCAGACAGTAATAGACTAAGTGAAGGTGGTTTTGGGGTGGTTTACAAGGTAATGTCCATGCCAGGTCCAGAGAATTCAATTTAGAAATTAGAAGTTTTGATATTGGGACTAGTAGTTATTTGTTTGTTTTACATTTTCAGGGTAGATTTACTAATGTACAAGAAATAGCTGTGAAGAGGTTCTGGACGAGGAGTTGAAGAATTCAAGAATGAGGTTGTGTTGGTGGCTAGGCTTCAGCACAGAAATCTAGAGAGGCTATTAGGATTTTGTTTGGAAGGAGAAGCGAAGATACTTGTTTACGAATTTGTGCCCAACAAGAGCCTTGGACTATTTTCTATTTAGCCTGTGTCACCTACCCTTTTGCAAGAACCTTTGCTCTAGGGCATGCCAACACATAGCAGAAAAGTAGAAATATGTCAAATTTGATTTGTTTTATTCTTATGCAGATCATGATAGACAAGGATTGTTGGACTGGTCCAGACGTTACAAGATAATAGGAGGCATTGCTTGAGGAATTCTTTATCTTCATTAGATTCTCAGCTTAGAGTCATACATTGGGATCTCACAGCCAGCAGTGTATTGCTAGATGGTGGCATGAATCCTAAAATCTCAAATTTTGGAATGGCAAGGGTCCTTGGAATTCATCAAACTCAAGGAAGCACAAATAGAATTGTTGGGACCTAGTAAGTAGTAACTCTTCAGTCATTTGTTTTGGTTCCATAGTCCATTCATTTGTGGTCGCATCCTTACTCAATACTCACTGAAAAAAGTGAATAGAATGAAAGACAATTGATCTAATACCAACAGTTTTTGTTACATTTAGACATACAAAAGATATATTGTTTCCATTGGTGTTCTATTGATATTAAGGTAAAGAATACAATTGTTTTTTCTAACATTGGTGCTGGTTTTTTGGTGGTTAGGTGTCTCCAAAATATACCATGCATGGACAGTTCTCTGTGAAATCAGATGTGTATGGTTTTGGTGTTTTAGTTCTAGAGATTTTAAGCGGCAAGAAGAACAGTAACTTTTATTAAACGGAAGGAACTGAAGACCTAATAAGCTATGTGAATGTAGATCAGCCTCTGAAATTATTTCTCGCCATAAATAGTTAAAACATTATACATCCATGACAAGAAAGAAATAATAAAGGATAACATTTTAGAAATTGGTCGATGAATTTGTGCAGGCTGGGAAACTTTGGAAGGATGGGAGACCATTGGAGTTTTTGGACCCGATTTTTGGAGATTCTTATGCAAGAAATGAAGTTATTAGGTGCATCCAAATTGGGTTGCTATGTGTTCAGGAAGATCCTGTTGAAAGGCCAACAATGGCAACCATTGTTCTCATGCTCAGCAGTTACTTAGTCACACTACCTCTACAGAACGAACCTGCCTTTTTCCTCCATAGCAGAACAGAGTTGACAAAGGTGCTAGAACCTGATCAATCAATGGGTCAGTCAACGCAATACTCTACAAATGAAGTCTCAATCACTGAAATAGACCCTCGGTAAAACTAGGCAGGCTACAGCTTATATATCCTCTGTTAATTCACGAAGTAAGAAGAAGAAGAAATTGAATACCAATTCAGGGAAATGGCCTCCATTTCCATGTTGTTCTTCATGACCATTGTATTGCCCTTCCTCATTAACTTTCCTTGTTTCATATTTCAAGATATTCTTGGTCGCTATTGCTCGAATTCTAATAATTTCACCATAC